TACTTCTTATGATAGAATTGATATCTTTATTTCGAACACTTACGCACTGTTGTCATGGCTTTAGATCACTGCTAACCAGAACCCCTAAATCTTTTTCGCATTCAGAGTGATTGATATCTATATTACCTAGTTAATAAATACCATGGTTGTTTTTTTTCAGTCTTATAACCTTATATTTGTCTACATTAAACTGCATCTGCCACTTCTCCTACCATTGTATCAATCTATCCAAACCTTCCTGTAGCGCTCCAGTGTCCTCATCAGAATTAATCAGACAGTCTATTATAGTGTCATCGGCAAATTTGCTTATGACGCTACTTATTCCTTCATCTATGTCATTTATTGCGTACTGTAAACAACAAAGGTACTAACCCTTGTGGAACACCGCTTGTGACGTGTCCTCGTTGATTTATTCCCATTAGCATTACCGACACTCATAGGTCTCTAGTTGATCGTTCACATTTATCAGGAACAGTAGTCGCCATGACATCGATTCTTGTGGAAGCCCACTCATTACCCTCTCCCATTCTGACGTCTCACCCCTAACTGTTATTCTGTTTTTTTGTCATGTAGGTACTGCTGGAGCACTCTGCCTGATGACATTATAGGTGGGTGGATAGAGATGACAGAAGGGTGGAGGGACAGGTGGGTGGAGGGACACATAGGTATAGGAACAGTTGAGTGAAGGGACAGATGGATACTGAGACAGATGGGCGGAAGGACAGGTGGTGAAGGGAGAGCTGGTAAATGGGTGGAGGAAACAGGCAGGTGGACAGAGAGACAGCTGGTAGGTGGGTGGAGATAGGTGACAGATGGGTGGAGAGAGAGCTGGCAGGTGGGTGAAAGAGGTGACAAGTGGGCGGGGAGAGAGGGAGAGGGAGAAAGAGAGAGAGAGAGAGAGAGAGAGAGAGAGAGAGAGAGAGAGAGAGAGAGAGAGAGAGAGAGAGAGAGAGAGAGAGAGAGAGAAGAGAGAGAGAGAGAGAGAGAGAGAGATAATAGGTGAGTGGAGGAGCTAGCAGGTGGGTGGAAAGAGAGCTAGCAGCAGATCGGTTTTGGGGAAAGATGACAGGTAGGTGGAAAGAGAGCTGGCGGATGGGTGTTGACGGTAGTGGTGATGCTGGTGGTGATGCTGGTGGTGGTGGTGGTAGTGGTGGTGGTGGTGGTGGTAGGCCGCCCACTTCCTGGCCCGGGGCAGACCTGGGATAGATGGCTACAGGCTACCCACCTGCCGTGTCCCACAATAAGCGTTCACTACACTTTAAAATACCTCACCATCATCCTCTCCCTCCCTTACTAAGCCCAAATTAATCACGTGGCTGACATTTGCAAGCAACAATCAACTTACCCAAAGGAAAAATAAATTACTGACTTGACTTGGTCATCTTAACATAATTTCATCAACATCGTGTGCCTTTCAATAACACATAAGCGCCATAAGAATCATTATACGGATTTACAATGTAAAATCTTTTACGATTTCCGATATAATACATAATCTTATCTAAGCTAGCGTGGTTACCTGGAGGTTACCTGGAGGTTATTCCGGGGATCAACGCCCCCGCGGCCCGGTCCATGACCAGGCCTCCCGATGGATCAGGGCCTGATCAACTAGGCTGTTACTGCTGGCCGCACCCAGTCCAACGTACGAGCCACAGCCCGGCTGATCCGGCACTGACTTTAGGTATCTGTCCAGCTCTCTCTTGAAGGCAGCCAGGGGTTTATTGGCAATTCCCCTAATGCTTGATGGGAGGCTGTTGAACAGTTTTGGGCCCCGGACACTTATGGTGTTTTCCCTTAGTGTACCAATGGCGCCCCTACTTTTTATTGGGGGCATTTTGCATCGCCTGCCCAGTCTTTTACTTTCGTAGGGAGTGATTTCTGTGTGCAGATTTGGGACCATTCCTTCCAAGATTTTCCAAGTGTAGATTATGATATATCTCTCCCTCCTGCGTTCCAACGAGTACAAGTCAAGTGCTTCCAAACGTTCCCAGTAGTTAAGGTGCTTGACAGAACTTATACGTGCAGTAAAGGATCTCTGTACACTCTCTGGATCTGCGATTTCACCTGCTTTGAATGGAGATGTTAATGTACAGCAGTATTCCAGCCTAGAGAGAACAAGTGATTTGAAAAGGATCATCATTGGCTTGGCATCTCTCGTTTTGAAAGTTCTCATTATCCATCCTATCATTTTCTTTGCACGTGCGATCGTGGCACTGTTGTGATCCTTGAAAGTGAGATCCTCAGACATTACTACTCCCAGGTCCCTTACATTATTTTTCCGCTCTATTGTATGGCCGGAGTCAGTAGTATACTCTGTTCTAGTTATTATCTCCTCCAGTTTTCCATAACGGAGTAGTTGGAATTTGTCCTCATTGAACATCATATTGTTTACCGTTGCCCACTGGAAAACTTTGTTTATATCTTCTTGGAGGTTAACCGCGTCCTCAGCAGATGACAGCCTCATGCAGATCCTAATATCATCCGCAAAGGATGATACGGTGCTGTGGTGTATATCTCTGTTTATGTCTGATATGAGGATAAGGAATAAGATGGGGGCGAGTACTGTGCCTTGTGGCAGCCTCCGATTTAACTCTGTTGACCACCACTCATTGTGTTCGATTTGTTAGGAAGTTGAAGATCCATCTCCCCACTTTCCCAGTTATTCCTTTAGCACGTATTTTATGGGCTATTTCGCCATGATCGCATTTGTCAAATGCTTTTGCAAAGTCTGTGTATATTACATCTGCATTCTGATTTTCTTCCAGTGCATCCTAGGCCATATCATAGTGATCCAGTAGTTGTGAGAGGCAGGAGCGACCTGCCCTGAACCCATGTTGCCCTGGATTGTGCAGATTTTGGGAATCCAGGTGATTTGCAATCCTGCTTCTTAGCACTCTTTCAAAGATTTTTATGATGTGGGACGTCAGAGCTATTGGTCTATAGTTCTTAGCTAATGCTTTGCTGCCACCTTTATGGAGTGGGGCTATATCCGTTGTTTTAAGTGACTGTGGAATTTCACCCATGTTCAAGCTCCTCCTCCATAGTGTACTTAGGGCACACGAGAGGGGTTTCTTGCAGTTCTTAATGAAAACAGAGTTCCACGAGTCTGGGCCCGGGGCTGAGTGCATAGGCATGTTGTCAATGGCTTTTTCGAAATCTATAGGAGTTAGGGTAATGTCGGAAATCTGGCATACATTTATGGAGTTTTGAGGCTCATTCATGAAGAAATCATTTGGGTCGTCGATCCTCAGACCGATTAGTGGTTCACTAAACACAGAGTCGTACTGGGATTTCAATATTTCACTCAAAATTTCTAGGTTTATTTAGGTACAGGTACACATAAGTATAATTATCATACATAGTAACATGTGTAAATTGCCTAGGATAACCCCCAAAAAGTCAGTGACTTATTTACATTGTGGTCGTTGCCATATCTTTGCTGTATATCCCGGGTGTTGAGGAAGATGAGAAATGTTAAGATGAAGTGTGAGGTATCCCCATCCAGGGAAGTGTGAGACATCCCCCAGTCAGGGAAGTGTGAGACATCCCCCAGCCAAGGAAGTGTGAGACATCCCCCAGTCAGGGAAGTGTGAGACATCCCCCAGCCAGGGTAGTGTGAGACATCCCCCAGTCAGGGAAGTGTGAGACATCCCCCAGCCAAGGAAGTGTGAGACATCCCCCAGTCAGGGAAATGTGAGAAATCCCCCAGCCAGGGAAGTGTGAGACATCCCCCAGTCAGGGAAGTGTGAGACATCCCCCAGCCAGGGTAGTGTGAGACATCCCCCAGTCAGGGAAGTGTGAGACATCCCCCAGCCAAGGAAGTGTGAGACATCCCCCAGTCAGGGAAATGTGAGACATCCCCCAGCCAGGGAAGTGTGAGACATCCCCCAGTCAGGGAAGTGTGAGACATCCCCAGACAGGGAAGTGTGAGACATCCCCCAGTTAGGGAAGTGTGAGACATCCCCCAGCCAGGGAAGTGTGAGACATCCCCCAGTCAGGGAAGTGTGAGACATCCCCCAGTCAGGGAAGTGTGAGACATCCCCCAGCCAAGGAAGTGTGAGGCATCCCCAGCCAGGGAAGTGTGAGACATCCTCAGCCAGGGAAGTGTGAGACATCCCCCAGCCAAGGAAGTGTGAGACATCCCCCAGCCAGGGAAGTGTGAGACATCCCCCAGCCAGGGAAGTGTGAGACATCCCCCAGTCAGGGAAGTGTGAGACATCCCCCAGCCAGGGAAGTGTGAGACATCCCCCAGCCAGGGAAGTGTGAGACATCCCCCAGTCAGAGAAGTGTGAGACATCCCCCAGCCAGGGAAGTATGAGACATCCCCCAGCCAGGGAAGTGTGAGACATCCCCCAGTCAGGGAAGTGTGAGACATCCCCCAGCCAGGGAAGTGTGAGACATCCCCCAGTCAGGGAAGTGTGAGACATCCCCCAGCCAGGGAAGTGTGAGACATCCCCCAGCCAGGGAAGTATTCAGCAAGAGTGGGAATCCCATGTATCTTGACCAGGTTTCTCTCTTCCCAGCAGGCTTCCCCGACCCTCCCACCACTACCAGGATCCCCCTGCGTCAACCATGCTTCCCGCGCCCTGTACCACACACACACACACACACACACTAACCGTTTATTCTCTCATTATCAAACAACTTTTATTTTCTAGACAGAAAGGAGATTTCAGCGATGCCTTCAACTGGACTACGGTAGTATTTGATGATAAGATATTTAAAGGTTCTGAGCTTCTCCGCTGACTACTTTCATTTCACTAAGCAAAATACGTTGTGAATCTAAAAGTTCACTAGTCGGTATTTATTATAAATTATTTTTTCTGTTATTCTGACTTTAATAAAAAAAAAATTTCTTCTTTGCGACACCCTGTAAATACTAGTATATTGCATCTCACTACTTATGTAAATAAATTAGGGATTATTAATGTAAAATAAGGATGAAAAGGTAGTTGGCAGCGGGCGGTGGCGGCCACATGGTGCGTGGCGAGGATCAGCTGATGCAGGAGCGCGGTAGCAGCAGCACGTGAAGCTTCAGTCCAGCGCTGGTCTTCGTGCAGCACGCACGTTGCCGCTCCTCTTATTGTTTGTGTGACCTGCACTCGAAATAGTGGCAAAAGTGAATCCTTGGACTGAGTTGTTGCATTATTATTAAACGCGATGGCGAGCTTAACGCTTGAAGAAGATTTAAATGCAGCTGCATGTTTAGTTGCCATGAAGGGCGGTGTTAGGTTGAACCAGTGGGCGGCTCCAGCCACCCACATACAACGCCCACGTCTTCAAGTAAAAACTCATCTAACGCTGCAAAACTCGTACCACGATCCACCACCAACACATACTCCTGCTTCCAGCCCCGAGCACTCACCTTGTGAATATACACACCACACCCTACCCCTCTCTCCCGCCCACCATATGTATCAGCCACCCACCCCGCCCACACCACCCTCGCCCCCTACACCCAACATGGAGGACCACTCATATTGCCCCCCCATGGATACAGACCTAACAGCAGATAACTCCGTGTACCTGATCGCCAGCATCCTAGCTGACCTCAAGCGCGTACAACAAGATCGGGTCGAAGTCAGAGAGAAAGAGCCTCCACCCACGACAGAAGACATTCCCACACCCGCCCACACCCCCACACAGACTCAGGAGCTACCACTCGACTTTAGTAGGAGAGGGGTGTCTGAGGTAGCCGCTACACCCGCCCCAACACGAACCACCAGAGGCACGGGTGGGCGGCGTGGGCGGGCCACCCAACACAAGGATAAAGAAGATAAACGAGCACACCCCTGCAGCTTCCCCGGCTGCGATAAGATATACGGAAAATCATCACATCTCAAGGCCCACCTCAGGACACACACAGGTCAGCCAGAGTTTATTTTTTCCACGTGAGCATATCAGAACATTTTCACATGTTTACAGTGCTTTTTTATTAATTTTGTATCTTAGTGTTTAAGGTGTGCTCGCATATAAAATAATGCGATCTACTCAGTTTTCATAGTCCACTCTTCGCTGAAATAAGTTTTTTAGGGATTCAGAGTTTAATGGCGTTGCCCTCAAGGGAGATCGTAATGGTGCTGCCCTCTAGGGAGGTTCCTTGATGCTGGTGAGGGGCTCTTGATCCTCTCCTTTTCGTAGAACCCGATTCACTTTTATTCCCCCCTAGCCCCAAGCGCTATATGACCCTCTGCGGGTTTAGCGCTCCTCATGACTGTAATAGTAATAATGGGACTTATTCAGAAATTGTAGTGGCGTTGGCTGTGTTAGGGTAAAACAGCGGTTTTATGGAGTTGCAGGTTTCTAGTGATGTTTCTCGAGAATAGCTGGGTTAGATGGATGAAGGTGGGTGTTCCGTGCAGTTAGTGAAAGGTGACAGCTACATATACGCTTACTGCATCTCAACGTTTTTCCTCGTGTCATGATCCAACTATACGTGGCTTCAAACATGCATGAGTTAAGATAATTACGACCTAGATTAAATACAGACGCTTTACAGACTGTCCTTGAAAAAAAAATCCGTTGTTCCACTAGGCACGTGAGTATTATAGGCTTACATTCGTCATAAACTGGAAATTTAACATCGGATAATCCAATCCAATTCGGGTGTAAATGGGTTATGGATGCTAGACAGTTGTGGATTGTGGTAATTAAGTGTAGTCACGTTGAGGTAGTGGGCTAGGCTGCCCAGGAGAGCCCTTGATGCAAACCTCCACTTCGAGCCCTTCACCTGGTCCAACACCCTCCCGCACACCCACCTCACAGTTCTCGTAGTTACAGTCTTTTTGTATTTTTTTTATGTGTTCTCTGCTGGTTATAGTGAGTGGGGTGGCTGCTGTGTCAAGAACCTCTGCTAAGCGTAACCATGCGTGGCAACCTGTGTAATAAGGACTGGGTGGGCGTTGTGGGTGCAATGTGGGCGTGGTGGGTGTGGTGTGGGCGTGGACAGGCGGTGATCGCGGTGCCACGCCCACCAGCTGACGCAGCAGCAGGCGGTGGCCAGTCGATACGGGAAGTCTTGGTTGAAGGTGCCTACGCCCGGGGCAGCCTCCCTCCCCTGGGCGGATATTGCACCTGAATCAATACTGCCTTACACAGGAATAATATGGTGACGGGAGGCAGAGAAGGCGTGTGGGAGGCCGCCAACTTGTTGACATGATGCAGGGCGTGGGCTGCTGGCCCCGCGCCAAGGTTGCTTTGCCCGCTGCTGGTCTGCCCTGCAACCTGCAAGGCCGATCACCTGCCCGCGCCCCCCGCCCGACTCGCCACCCGCCCCACCACCCATCCAACTCCCTCCTTAACACTCTCCCCACTACCCACCCAGAGCCCGACCTACCACACGCCCCGCCATCCGTCCTCCCGCCCCTCCACACTGTTTATCTCATGCGCCGCACCTAATTACATGTATGGTGAATGTTTACCCTTGATTCTAGTTGTGTTATATATGTGATACGGTTGCAGTATTGATCAGTGTTGGAGGGGGTGGGGAGACCCCACCTTCCTTCTCATATTACGTAACATAAAACACTTTGACTTTTGGGGGGATTATCCTCGGTAATTTACACATGTGTTAATGTGTATGATAATTGAAATCTAGTAAATTTGTATAACCATACCTAACTAAACTTCCTTAACTTTCACAAAGTAGCTAGCGTGAGGGATGCGTAGGCGCTTATTCCTCTCCTTCAGTCATGACGAGTTGAGAATAAGGACAGTGGTGGTGGTGGTGCCTGAGGGGCGCGGTGGTGGTGGTGCCAGTGAAGGGCGTGGTGGTGGTGCCAGTGAGGGGCGTGGTGGTGGTGGTACCTGAGGGGCGTGGTGGTGGTGGTGCCAGTGAAGGGCGTGGTGGTGGTGCCAGTGAAGGGAGTGGTCGTGGTGGTTCCAGTGAGGGGTGTGGTCGTGGTGGTATCAGTGAAGGGCGTAGTCGTGGTGGTGTCAGGAGCGTGGTCGTGGTGATGCCTGTGAGGGGCCTGGTGGTGATGGTGCCAGTGAGGGGCCTGGTGGTGATGGTGCCAGTGAAGGGCCTGGTGGTGGTGGTGTCTGTTAGGGGCGTGGTGTTGATGGTGCCAGTGAGGGGGGTGGTGGTGCCTGTGACGGGCGTGGTGGTGGTGGTGCCTGTGAGGGGCCTGATTTTGGTGATGCCTGTGAGGGGCGTGGTGGTGGTGCCTGTGAAGGGCGTGGTGGTGGTTCCTGTGAGGGGCGTGGTGGTGGTGGTGCCTGAGGGGCGTGGTGGTGGTGGTGCCTGTGAGGGGCGTGGTGGTGATGGTACCAGTGAGGGGCGTTGTAGTGATGGTACCAGTGAGGGGCGTGGTGGTGCCAGTGAGTCGCATGGTGGTAGTGGTGCCAGTGAGGGGCATGGTGGTGCCTGTGAGGGGCGTGGTGGTGGTAGTGGTGCCAGTGAGGGGCATGGTGGTAGGGGGTGCCTGTGAGGGGCGTGATGGTGGGGGGTGCCAGTGAGGGGCGTGGTAGTGGTGGTGCCTGTGAGAGGTGTGGTGGTGGTGCCTGTGAGGGGCGTGGTGGTAGTGGTGCCTGTGAGGGGCATGATGGTGATGGTACCAGTGAGGGGCGTTGTAGTGATGGTACCAGTGAGGGGCGTGGTGGTGCCAGTGAGTCGCATGGTGGTAGTGGTGCCAGTGATGGGCATGGTGGTGCCTGTGAGGGGCGTGGTGGTGGTAGTGGTGTCAATGAGGGGCATGGTGGTGGGGGGTGCCAGTGAGGGGCGTGGTAGTGGTGGTGACTATGAGGTGTGGTGGTGGTGTCTGTGAGAGGTGTGGTGGTGGTGCCTGTGAGAGGTGTGGTGGTGGTGGTGCCTGTGAGGGGCATGGTGGTGATGGTACCAGTGAGGGGCGTTGTAGTAATGGCACCAGTGAGGGGCGTGGTGGTGCCAGTGAGTCGCATGGTGGTAGTGGTGCCAGTGATGGGCATGGTGGTGCCTGTGAGGGGCGTGGTGGTGGTAGTGGTGTCAGTGAGGGGCATGGTGGTGGGGGGTGCCAGTGAGGGGCGTGGTAGTGGTGGTGACTATGAGGTGTGGTGGTGGTGCCTGTGAGGGGCGTGGTGGTGGTGGTGCCTGTGAGGGGCATGGTGGTGATGGTACCAGTGAGGGGCGTTGTAGTGATGGTACCAGTGAGGGGCGTGGTGGTGCCAGTGAGTCGCATGGTGGTAGTGGTGCCAGTGAGGGGCATGGTGGTGCCTGTGAGGGGCGTGGTGGTGGTAGTGGTGTCAGTGAGGGGCATGGTGGTGGGGGGTGCCAGTGAGGGGCGTGGTAGTGGTGGTGACTATGAGGTGTGGTGGTGGTGCCTGTGAGAGGTGTGGTGGTGGTGCCTGTGAGAGGTGTGGTGGCGGTGCCTGTGAGAGGCGTGGTGGTGGTGCCTGTGAAAGGTGTGGTGGTGGTGCCTGTGAGAGGTGTGGTGGTGGTGCCTGCGAGAGGTGTGGTGGTGGTGCCTGTGAGAGGTGTGGTGGTGGTGCCTGTGAGAGGTGTGGTGGTGGTGCCTGCGAGAGGTGTGGTGATGGTGCCTGTGAGAGGTGTGGTGGTGGTGCCTGCGAGAGGTGTGGTGGTGGTGCCTGTGAGAGGTGTGGTGGTGGTGCCTGTGAGAGGTGTGGTGGTGGTGCCTGTGAGAGGTGTGGTGGTGGTGCCTGCGAGAGGTGTGGTGGTTGAAGTAGAGAGGGTGTGATAATAGATGCGAGGGATGGATTTGTTATGGTTCCAGTGATGAAAGGCCTCATCATTTATTCCGATATACGCACCACAGCAACATTTTGCAAGAATTTCTCGTTTACTCTTGAACACAGTTATGTTTGTATTGGTAATTACCTTATAAATATATATATATATATATTATATATATATATTATATATAATTATATATATATTATATATATATATATATATATATATATATATATATATATTATTGAAGAGCATCGAGTCATTTATGAGTTGAATTATACCATATGTACAACAACCTGATCGATCAGGCTAGCAACCAGGAGGCCTGGTCTGGGACCGGACCGCTGAGGCGATGACCTCCGGAAACGATTCCAGGTAACCAGGTACTTAGGTTTTTAATTGGAGGTATTGTGCACTTTCTACCATGACTCTTGCTTTTGTAAGGTGTTAATTTAGTGTGCAGATGTGGAATCAGTCCATACAGTATTATTGACTTGTAAATAGTGATAGACTTTACTTGTATGTGATCCAGCGAGAGAAAGCGAAGATATTTTAGGTATTTCAAACACTTGTATTTTAACTGATGCAGGCAGTAAAAGTTCTCTCCAGATTCTCTATGTCTGCAATTTCGCCACTTTAATTGTGTTTCCCTTGTATTGCAATATTATTGGCAGTGGGGAATTGTTGAAGGTTCAGTGGTGGTGGGTGTGGCAGGATCGAGTACTAGAGGGTGTGGCAGGGTCGAGTACTGGGGGGATGTGGAAGGGTCGAGTACTAGAGGGTGTGGCAGCATCGAGTGCTAGTGGTGAGTTTAAAGTATCTTAGGCGGTATATGGTGGTGGTGGGTGTGGTAGGTTAAGCAGTGGATGTAGTAGGTTCTGTAGCGGTGGTGGGTGTGGCAGATTTAGTGGTTATGGTAGGTGTGGCAGGTTTAGTGGTGGTGGTGGATGTTGCAGGTTTAGTGACTGAGGCGGCAGGATAAGTGGTTGTGGGTGTGGCAAATTTAGTAGTGGTGGTGGATGTTCTAGGATTGATTACTGGTAGTGGGTGTGTTAGTGTTAAGTACTGGTGGTGTGTGACAGATTGCATAGCGGTGGTGGTAGTGGATGTGGCAGGTTGAGTAGTAGTGGAGATGGTGGTAAGTGTGGTAAGTACTGGTAGTGGGCGTGGCAAGACTAGGAAGGTGTGTGGCAGGTGGT